TGTCTTAAGAGATGAAGTGCTACTGATTTTATACCATTGCCTTCGCTTTACTATCTGTTGTCAAGTTTTTTACTAAACACACAAAAAATCATATGATATAAGTATTTGCTGTGAGTTTTGACATATCAAGTAAAAAATATGAAAAATGTTTTTCGATTGTCTGTTAGAAGTTTGAAAAATGAAACAAATTTGCTTTAAAACAGGAATTACTTATTATTATAATAACTTTGTTTTATAAATAAAAAATACACATAAACTCGAGATTTATTTATTAATTATAGTAATAATAAACGAGGGCTCACTTCCGATACAAATATGAATTTGTAGTTTTATTTTTCATTCATTTATAATAATAGTAATAATAATTCATTCCTGAATTAATACTGCAATCAATTCAAACTGCTTTTAAAAGAGGATAAAAGTTTGTGTTTTATTTTACGCCAATTATCATATAATCTAAATATTAATTCTTTATTATAATTACTAAACAATCAGTAATTTATGATAAGTAAGGGATTAGACAATGAATGAGAAGAAGAAAATAGCATAACATATCAAAACATAACAATAAAATATAATTTAGTTGTTTTGTGATGTGTATTTCTACACGTGATTTACACCCACTGACCACACTTTGATATATAGTTTTTAATAGTTTTATTATACAAAAAATTGTTTTTTGAAAAATATTCTGATTTGTATTTTGTAAAATTCATATTTTTGTTGTAATTCAAAATTTTTAGACGCCAATAAAATTATATTGTTTGAATTCTACGTTAAAAATATGTTTATAATAAATTTATTTGAATCTTGATCCAAAGTTTTAACAAAAGGTTGCAAAACTTAAGTTCATTTAAAAACTGTTATTTAAGTATATAATGTAATTCTAAATATAATATAAATTATATATTATACTATTTGGCGAGAAACAAAGAGTTACATTATTTTGTAATTGATTGCGATAATTTTATATATTTAATGTAGCCAGGTAATATTATTTATATTCTATGTTATAAATACTAGCGATGTATTATATATTGATTTACAATACCAATGCTTTAGATGTATTTTAATGAAAAATGCGCGTAACATAAATACTTTTAGTAAACTGTAATAAATTTGCATTCTAATGATCATGATAATATTAAAATCATGAAAATATTAATATAATGGTAAATTAATTCCAGAGTTAATTTTATTTTAGTAATGTAAATTTTTTAACTTTTGCTCATTAACATTTTCATTATATTAATTCAACCATTAAAAATATTATTTGACGTGTTGATAATTTATAAATTAATAACTAAAAATTTAAAATTTTACAAAATTAATTTTAATCATAATTCATTGATTAGAAATGTGTTTTATAAGATCGTTCGACATCCATCCTATGGCTATATTTGAACAATGTAATGTTAATCTTATGTCTATTGACAATGCTAACTTTGTGAAATTAAGGCATCATTGTTTTTTGTAAATTAATTTTTATCAAAAATAATTAATAGATGGTAGAGAAATTTGTTGAATTGAATTATGGTAGTATCATTACCATTTTATTAATAGCAAACATGTCATGTCGTGACCGGCCGTATGGGGTATCAGCCGTTGCCGGGAATTCAGAGCCGACGCCTAAATACACGGACAGGTGGCGAAAGTGTAGGAATGCGTTGAATCCATGTGTGTATACACTAAGAATAACCATATTTAATTATCATGAAAGTGGGTATTTAATTAATAATCACCATATTTGATGAGTGAAACACAGATTTGATGAACTATTCAAGTGATAACTTAAACTCAAAATTTTTGAATTACAAAATTAGTACCATGAAGTTCATAATAATTATGATAACTATAATGGTAATCATACCTGATCAATGTATTAAAATCAGGTGCAGTGAAGAAGAGAATGATGTAGTGAGCCCACAAACACCTGAAAAGAATGATGCCTGTTCAGGCCATAAATGCCGTGATGATGAACATTGTATCATGATCGACCCAAACAATACGCCCACGTGTTTTGTCGATGAAGACCAGAAACTAGATGATTATGACAAAGAGAAAAAAGAAGAAGAAGAATTAGAGAATGTTACTTAAATTATTTATGTTATAAGTAAATAAATTGTTTTTTTTAATCAATCCAATTTTACCTTAATTATTTTTATAAGTAAATAAAACATATGTAACGAGTAATTAACAATCGGTATTTTTGGCATTTTTAAAAATATATACATTTTAAATATAAATATACTCTTATTAAACAACGTTGTGGATTCAACTAAGATCGCTATTTATACCAGGCGTTAGTCTCTATTAGAGTACATCAGTATCCTATGGCTCCAGCATTACAACCAGCGATCAATAATAATTATTATTACTAAAATAATTTAGTATTGTTGCTATATCCAGTCTTACAATATACTTACAATATACTATTAGTTAACTTTATGCTAAAAATGAGTAAAACATTAACTGTAATTATTATTTTTTAATTTATTTACATACATGTAATTATACTATTTTAAATTAATAATGTGTTTTATATTTGCATTTCTATAATTCAATTTACCAAGTTAAAAAATATTTTTACACATAATTTGGTTGAAAAAATATAATACTTTATTAGACTTTTAACGTAAATAATAATTAATTAAAGCAAAACAATAATAGTGTTTAACAAATACAAAATCATCAATCCTGTAATCATACAACACTAATACAGTAATAACACGATAACCACATCTAATATCCGTGTCCGGAGAGATCGCCCAAACCGTCGGACAGACCATAAGAGAGACCAGAGTTGTGGCCGTCATCCAAAAGGATAGCGCCCTTACCATAGCCTCCATTGTTTCCATAGCCACCGCCCAAACCATAACCGCCTCCCAAACCTCCATAACCTCCATAACCTCCGAGACCTCCCAAACCACCCAAACTGAGACCATTGTCTCGGCTGTCGGTCTGGACAACACGGGTGCGCACAATAGGCTCACCGCGGGCTATAACCGGGACACCGACGGTACGGGTGACGGTCACCGGGTAGGGTCGCTCCACCACAACGGGCACAGCGCGTGGGACAGCGTAGGGCTGGGGAACGGGCACAGCGTATGGCTGAGCAATAGTCTTAATGATGGGCTCGGGCTCCTGCACCGGATGGTCGGTCTTGAGCTTATAGCTAGAGGCCTGGGTGTGTCCGATCGAGATGATTTTGTGGCTGGGGAATGCTGTGGCAACAGCGCCCATGGCCAAAACGAGCTAGGTTAGATAGAGAGTAATTTTTAATTATTTGAATCAGCTTGTCGCATTTTTTATTTTTGATAAGTTTTAGGGTTTAATGTTTAGTTAATAATTTTTTTTATTAAGTTGATTATTATAATGATATTATTTGATATTGATTGTTACATTACTTACCAACAGTGAGTGCATGGTGAATTTGTAAATTGATGTCTCTCAACGTGTTAACTGTTTGAAAGTGAGATTGATTTATATATAGTTGTACTCTTTATATAGTTGCTGTGTTAATCCAATCCAATAATAATCCTATGATATGTAAACGTAATGTAATTTGCATTTAAACACGACATCAAATAATAAAAACGTAAATCAAAATAAAAATATTACACAAAAATAAAAATTTTATTTTTATAATAATTTTTATAAAACCAAGAAAAAAATTCTGAGTCCAAGAATGAAATGAAAATTTTAATATAAATCGTTATATAAATATAGCATATATTATAAGCCAAATGCTATTATAATTACAAGTGATTAGAAAAGTTTTCAAGTTTACGCACGAGTTAAATAAAAATTGTTTGGTAACCAGGTTGGTCAAATTTTAAATATAATTAAACAAACCTGCTAGAATAAATAAATACACTTTTAAATATATTTTTAAATTAATTTATTATTTAATTTTGATATAATTATAAATTTACCCCAGTGTAAATAAATGTGCTAGATAATAATATAAATTACTAATTCTACACCTTGGTTATTCATTTAATGCAGATTATAGTGAAAGGCGTTGTCTCGACAGGAATTTAAATACTGTATATATAATTATGTGGAAAAAAGTTTCTTGTTTGTTTTAGTTTAAATGTTTTATACATGTAATACACTTTTATTTTGAGTGCATATAAAAACAATAAAACCGTAAGTAATTTAAATATCGATCGGTTTTTATTTGATGGCTAATATTAAATATGATAATAATGTTAATTATTTTTTCTTGATCATTTTTGTTGGCTCACATTTGTGGGGCACATAAAAAACGTGGTAATTTTGGTCAAGGAGTTGACGCTTATATGTCGTGCTCACCGTTTTTGAGACATTTTTATTTTTATTAAGACATTTAATTAATTATAATTATTATCAATCGTTAAGTCAGAATAGCAAGTGTACTAAATTGATCACGTATTACAACATAGACACTTTTAATTGTCAATATATTTTGCATCAGTATATTTAAGTACATTCATGCAATGATTTTTATTTTATTTTATTAATTCACCCTACCCATCTAACCTCGTGGTGTAAATAATTCATGATTTAGATCTAGATGATTTTGAATAAGTATTATGCTATTATTTTTATAAATCAATGTTAATATTTTTATACAAATGTAAATCAAATAAAACACATATACAAAGCGTGACATAATATTAAAAATAAAACTTTTATTACATATATGTAAATCTAATTAATAAAAATTCAATATTATTTACATAGACTCCTTGAGATTTTCCTAATATTTGTTTTATTTCATTGATCATGTTTATTGGGATTAACAACATGGTTAATCAGTTAACACTTAATATGAAAATCATGTAGTCTTACAATAAGTAAATTTACATAAATGTAAAACTATTTAATTTAGGGTTAAAGGTGATTAAAATATTAACGACCTTCATTAATCATTTTCATTTTATTTATTTAATTATAATCCGAAAAATATTTAAATGAAATTTTCTATTATATTTTAAAAGTTAATTTTTCTATATGTATTATAAATTTATAATTGCGTTAACAACCTTGGTAGGATATTGCATTTTTTTTATACATGTCCATTTAGCTATATATTAATTATCATTTTTGGTTTGCGTTATCAAAATGACCTCAATTATTTATTTTCTGCCAATGATGTACATAGATAAATATTTCAATTATAATTATCTAATAATTCAATGTTTAATAATTTAATATATGGTTGTTTTAATTATTAACATTTAATCTTAAATATTTAAATATGGTTATTGATAATTATTTAATTTATATAATTAAAAATAAATTCATATTTGTAAAGTCTTAATAAAATAATCAGAGTAATTTACAAGAAAAATTTATACAAAAATATTTTATTGAACAATACATAATTGTGTATCTAATTCGTATCCAATCCAAAATTAACTAAATTTCAATTAATAATAAATAGCATAATGTTAATTATTTAATTTTAACAGTTTTAAAACAAAATTATTTTTAGAGAGAGAGAGAGAGAATATGTGAGAAATAATAGTAATTATAGAATAGAAATGAATAAATTTTGCGGTTAAAGAAGTTCTGAGTTTTGAGTTTAATTCACTGCAAAAGACATTGAAATGTAAAAACAGTAGAAACGGAACTCAACTTCAGTTCTTTGATTATTTTTTCTACATTTGATTATTAAAGTGAATACCATTTGCTGTGTATCTGTATCTACGACTGCCAGTGCCTGAAGTGAACTTATGCCACAAAACTGTATGTGTTGTCTCTCTCTCTCTCTCTCTCTCTCTCTCTCTCTCTCTCTCCTCTCTCTCTCTCTCTCTCTCTCCCCTCCCTCCCTTCTGCAGTATATCTAAACATTTCTAAGCATTTATTGAGTTTTTAATATAAACTTCGAAAAAGTGTAGAGAAATTATGAATAAACTTCGGGGTTAGAGAGAGAGAGAGAGAGAGAGAGAGAGAGAGAGAGTAAAATATATAATATTTTTTATATTCTCTGTTTTAAGGACTTAAATAAAAATTAGTAGAGAGAGAGAGAGAGAGAGAGAGAGAGGAGTAATTGAAGACAAAATGCAAATATGTTGTTGTGTTGAAGAACAGATGCAAATGTTGAATGACTTTTGTCTACCATATCCTTCATATCATTGGTATTCATCAGTGACTGACTCTTACATAACATTACAAATCAATGTTAACTTATAATTAGATTCGTTTGTATTCTAACGCATACTTCAAAACCTAAGCATAACTCCAATCTATAAACTAATTGACAGAAGAAATACAGCAAAAAATCAAAATTAAATTAACTTTTAGTAAAATTGCATTCCTCTCAATATATCGGATGAAAAGCTCTCTCTCTCTCTCTCTCTCTCTCTCTCTCTCTCTCTCGTATTTTATTTTATTATAATTTTCTATTAACAAATACATTTCATATACTGTATATATATCTGGTAAACAATGTAATCATTTTTCAATTTAATTAACCGAATAGTAAGAGAAATGAAACAACGGGTCTATACTATTCACATATATTTTTTATTTCAATAGAGTTTTAGTGATTTTTTAAGGATCGGCCGAATCTGTACATAACTAATGCCGTGATTTTCTCCTTTTTTGCCAAAATAATAGCACAAACGGCACGAAAATACAGGAAATACACACGAATTGAATGGAGTGAATATTGTGGGCCATCTCTCAAGTGGGTGTCATGTCATTGGACTCCCGATTCAAATGAAACCGAAACCTCTCTCTATTGAGGAGAGAGTTGTCGTTATCAGTGAAGAAGTTATGGAAGTAGTGGTAAGTTATTTGGGTTAATCCGCTCAGCATTACCTCAAAAACTTATGTTAAACGTATTGTTCGGTATATTGTATTACAAGTCTTAAGCCATAGTTAGGTATTTGACATGTATTTAGTCTAACATTTAATAATATTCATCGAATTTCTATTAAGACTTCAGATTCTGTTTCAGTCAAGAAAATATGGGCGGAATATAAACGACTGGAAACACACATTCTTATGATTATGTTTTTTGAGCGCAGATATGAGTCTTAA